TTGGCGCGCCTTTGCAGTTATTGGACACGCCCTGGCCCATGGAAGCACAGACGCAGCAAATGTTTTACCGGCGTGGCTGAACATGCTTGGTCTGTCCTTGAAATTTACATGTTGGCGCCATCAGAGCATCGCAAGTTGGACGCGTGTCTCGCCGAGAAAGTGAGAGCCGTGCTAACGGGGCAAGCGCGCAGCGAGGATCAAGACGGAGCCCGCCGAAGCTGGGCAGTCCCGCGGGCGTTTCGAGAATGGCGACTCGCGCCGACATCCGCGGGGCCCATGATCAAGAGACTGACCTGGTGGCAGGCCATCGTTGGCGACCCGCCGGGCCGCGCGCAATGTTTGGCCGCTTTTTGTTTTGAGAGTGTCGGTTTGAAGCTCATGCCCGCGCCGATGGCCCACGCGCATGTGCGAAGCCATTGCCCCGCGACCGGCTCCGCGACGATGATGGAGTTCACCCGCGGGCCGCGCAGCTACTGCGACTTCTTCGGCGTGTCATTGGAACTCTCCTTACTTCCTCAGAGGATGGACTCAACCACCGGGGGAGGCGGAATAGGAGGAAAGGGGGAGGATGGAACAGGTAGGAATAAACCTTGGAGAAGGCAGATGAAAAAACTTGACGAAATTGTTATCCTTACCTCCTCCCATGAGGAGCGGTGCTGAAACAAACGATGATGTCTTGCTTTGCCGGGGAAGCGCCTGGAACAAGGCGCATGGTTGGAAGGCCCTGTGCAGCCTTGTATATATATACACATATGTACACATACATACATGCATACATACATACAAACATACAAACATACATACATACATACAGCATGCACATATACATACATGCATGCATACCTATATGCATACTGCCATGTATACGTACATGCAAACATATTTGCATACACGCATGTATGTACGCCCGTAAACATACATACATGCATACGCACATACACAGATACACATATACATACATATATATATATATATGTATGTATGTACCGATATATGAATACAGTTGCACATGCATGTGTATATGTATACGAGAGAGAGAGAGAGAGAGAACGAAACATAACTAACAAAATATCAGATAATCAGATTTGGCTGGGAAGGGCACCGGACCGCGCGGGTGCGCATGGGGGCCTCGGCGACCCGTGGAGACCCCGAGAGCTCCGAGACAGCCGACAGCCGCCCCCCCGAACTGGCCCAAAACCGTCCAGCAGTTCGCTTGGGGCGCTTTGGCGCCACCCGAAGCGCCCCCAGACGGTCTGAAGGCGCGCCAAGCGGTCCCCAAGAGGCCTCCAAAGAGCCCCCTCCAATGGCCCAGGACGCAACAATCACCCAAGTCTTGTCGGAAATCGTCAACTTCAGCAAGTTCGTGGTTTCAGTCCTGACAGCTTCTAGGACGGTCCAAGAGGCACCCAAGGAGGCTCCAAGACCGCTTACGAGGTACCAAACACGGCCCAAGAGGGCCCCAAGACAGTCCAAGGACACCCTTCGAGGGTCCCCCCAAAAAACGCCCCCGCCGAATCCCCCAGGAGATCCCCGAGAGGTCCCAAGAGGCTCCGTGAATGCTTCCGAGAGGCTCCCAGGAGGACTCCCCATAGGCACCCGGAAGCGAGGTCTCGCGTCTCTATGCTGCACGGCGTTCCCAGAGAGAGGCTTCAAGAGGCCCCCAATTCACAATCCATCTCAGGGCTGCAAGAGGCCTCTGGGAAACTCGCCGCGAAGCCCCGAAAAGCACCCAAGACGCCCCGAACCCACGATCCAAGTGAGGGGTGTGCCGACATGGGCGGAGCGGTGGGATGCGAACGTTGGCTGTGGGGCTGTCGGTGGAGCTCAGTGTGGGGTACGATCCGTGTGAAGAGACAGTCAACATACACAGAGGGACGTGACGTTAAGAGGCTCCTCCCGCTAAGGCCGCTCGTGAAACTACATCCCTCTGGGGCGCGATCCGCGTGAAGGGTGTGCAGAGATGGGGGGAGGGACGTCATGCGAACTGTTCCCCTGGACCTGAAATTGGAGCTCGTGGGGGGGCACGATCCGCGTGAGGGCCGTGCCGAACTTGGCCGGGGGGACGCCTTGTCAGAATATTGCCTTGCTCTGGGGCCGTATGTCTCGGCTCAAGCCGTGTGGCTGGTACCTTTGCATTTGAAGTTCAAACCATGTTTGTGTCATTACTTCAGTGGAGCTGTGACCTTTTGAAGGTGTGGGACTGCTTAGAACCTGAGCGCGCGCTTCGCGCAGCCGTCGCTGCCAGGATACCACAGTTGCCTTCATTTCTTGGCATAGCTTCGCAGTGGATCTCATGCGTGTGTCCTTGTCAGGAATCGGTCTCTGTTCGGCCTGCGTTAGTGATGCTTGTTCTATCCCATGATCAAATTATTTTTGAGTAATTACTTTAGTGGAAATGTGAACTCTTCAAGAGCTGCGGCTGACTAGAACCTAAGCGCGCGAAGCTCTCGTGGGTCTAATACATATAGGGATCTTGGCGCACACACACACACACACGTACATAGACGTATACATATATATATATATATACATATATATATATATATCGAAGATGCTTACGGCGAATCAATTCCGCCCCATGTTTTTTGGAATCGCCCATGTGGCCGAACGTTGTAGCCATAGCTCTGCCAAGCTACAGGACCATGTAATCCCCGAGCCATTGTGAAAGCCCTTCGGGGAAACTTGGGAGAGGATGGCGGGAAAGATCAGGAGGAGTTCGAGGATGAGAAGGAGAAGGGGGAGAGGGGGCATGTTGGGAGCCTCTGGAGGTACTCTTGAAGGCATCGTTGGGGACTCCTTGGGCCTCTTGGGGGCCTCTTTGCCTGTCTTGGAGCGTCCCTGGCGCGTCTGCCACCGTCGGAAGCCGTCTTCGGGGCCTCTCCGAACCGACTTGGGCCCTCTCGGAGGCCTCTTCGGCTGTCTTGGGGCGATATTTGGGGCCTCCTGGTCCGTCTTGGAGCGTCGGGCAGCCGAACAGGCGCTCTCTTCGGGATATGGGCCCGTTGCTCCAGCAGATGCTTCAGGAGCTCCAGAAAGCATAGGGGACCGTCCGCAAGGGCGTCCAGGGTGCCCCCGTGGCCAAGGATTTGGGGGGGTCCCGTGTAAGGGGGGGGCTTCGCAGTATCCCAAATCACAGGAAGATCACCAACGGAATATACACAGATGTGTGTACATGTATACACATGTATGCATGTATGCATGCGTGTATGTATGCCTGTATGTGTGTATGTATGTATGCATGCATGCCTGTATGTATTATGTTCATATGTGTGAATGTATGCATGCATGTATGTATGTTTGTGTGTATGTATGGCTGCATGCATGCATGCATGTATGCATGCATGTACGTAAGAATGTCTGTATGTATGTATGTACGCGTGTATGTATGTATGTATGTGTGCATGCATGCATGCATGCATGCATGTATCTATGTATGTATGTATGCATATATGTAGGTATGTCTGTGTGTATGTATGAATGTATGAATGCATGCATGCATGCATGCATGCATGCATGCATGCATGTATGTGTGTATGTATGTATGTGTGTATGTATGTATGCATGTATGTGTTTGTATGCATGTATGTCTGCCGGTATGTATGGATGCGTGTTTATAGGTATGCATGTATGTGTGTTATGTATGTATGCATGAATGTGTGTATGTACGTATGTTTGTATGTATGTGTGTATGTGTGTATGTATGTGTGTATGTATGTATGTATGTATGTATGTATGTATGTATGTGTGTGTGTATGTTTGTATGTATGTATGTATGTATGTATGTATGTATGTATGTATGTATGTATGTATGTATATATGTATGTATGTATGTATGTATGTATGTATACATGTAGGCATGTGTGCATGTATGCATGTATGCATGTATGCATATATGTATGTATGTATACATGTGTCTGTCTGTCTGTCTGTCTGTCTGTCTGTCTGGATGAATGAATGAATGAATGTATGTATGTATGTATGTATGTATGTATGCGTGTATGTTTATATATGCATATGCATAGGCGATGATTGTTGATTGGGGCTGTCTTGAATTGGAGGCCGCTTGGGCAGTCTTGAGGCCATGCTAGAGCCCGCGCAGCTTGAGCCAGCTGGGTTGGGTGTCCACGGAGTGTAGATTTTGACGCTCCCGAGGCCCCGGGGTGCGTTGAGAAGCCCGCCCCCCCCCTTCCCCAGAGAAGCCATTATTCAGCGCGACTTCTGGTGGTAGCGCAATGACTGTGCCGATGGGTGTCTGCGGCTCGGCCGGTTCGGCTGCGTCGCAGTCGGTTTGGTCCGGTCAGTTGTTGTACCGTGGCTGCGTCGCTTCGCCTTTCCAGACTGCCTGCGGCCTGTCGACGTCGGTCGACCTCGCTGTCGCTGTCGTGTTTCGGCCGGTTTTCGGCCGTGGTCTCGCTGTGGGCGGCCTTGCTCTGCGAAGGCATGGTGGCTTCTGAGGATCCCTCCCGCTCCTTCGCAGAAGCCCCCAGCCTTCGCAGGACATCGGCTCCGACGACAGCGGGGATGGGGAATGGAGGGGTACGAAATCAGCAGCACGCACCTGATTTCGGCCCCGCCGTCAGGCGTTTCCCTCGATACCATGGCGCCTGGGAAAAAAGCTACGTGAGCTGTCTCGCAAGCCCTTGCGTTACCCTGATATGCGATGGTGACCCCATTCTTTACTTGATAGCGGAGTTGTCGCACATGTGGCAGCTCTGCTCATCTCCGCCCTCGGCACGCTGTCACATGCGCCGAGTTCCACAGACGTGCAGTCAATTCGCATAGGAAGGATGAGCGACTTTCCCTTTCGGCCCGTCCTTGGTTGCTTTCGCTGGCCGCGCCCCGCTCGCAGAATCTCGGCATGGCCCTCCCTGGCCCTTGCATCCTTAGCGTGCGTCCTTATTCTACGGGTTTGTTGTCTTGGCCGTTGGTATCCACCCGTTCGTCCGCACCGAGGAGACCGCCTCCCTCGCACATAACCCCCCTTTGGTGCGCGCCGCCAGAGTCCGCCCGCGGCTCCGCGACCCAGGGCGCGCCCACGGCGCGGGCCCCGCCGGCAGAAAGAGTTGCTGCTGCGCTCGCGCGTTGGGGAGGTCCCCGCGGCGGAGCAGGGGGGAGTTCGGTGGACAGGATGGGTTCGGATGCAACTCCTGGGAGGTCAAATTCTGATTTTGCCCTGGTCCGAAATCCGGCTTTATCGGCTTAATCCGGCTTAATCCCGCTTAATCCCGCTTAATCCGCCTTAGCCCCGCTTATTCCGAGGCCTTTTCCGGCGTAACAGCTCCCAAATGGGGCTTCATCCTCCTTAATCTTTCCGACGAAAACCTCCCAGTAGTTGCCTCCTAAGGATGGGGGTGGGGAGCAGGGGGTCAGATGAGTGACAGGTACCGCTACCGCTGCTCGTCTCGGAGTGCCAGGGTCGCCGCCGTGTGATCGTCCTCGGAGTTTTGGTCGGCATGCGCCCTGGGAGAGGTCTGGGGAGTAGCGATGTCGGTATATCTTTATCCCCCAAGGGATGGGAGGAGGGGGGGGGGAGAAGCAGGGATGGTGGAATGTGGAGGAGGTGGGAGGATGGAGCAAGACGAGCAAGAGGACATGGGGGTGAGAGGGAGAAAGAGTGGGATTGTGGAGGGAGGAAAAGAATGGAGAAGGATGGACAGGAGGAGGGATGAGCGCGGAGGCAGAGACAGAGGAGGAGAGGTGCAAGGAATAGAGGGGAGAGGGGAATAGTGAGGCGGTGGAGAAGGAGGAGGGGGGTCCCCTCCTCCTGGCGGCTCCTGCTTACCCCTCCTGCTCCCCCTCTTTGCCGGCATCCTCGCCCTCCTCTTTCTCCTCATCTTCGGGGGGGTGGCGGGATGCGAAAGGTTCCGCGCTGTCCTGGCTGCATAGACAAAGCGTTTTCGGCGAGGCGACCGAATATCTTGGTCCTCAGCGTTGTTATGTTGCGCGCTCGGTTTGCTTATCCTTCTCCTCCTCCGCCTCCTCCTCCTCCTCCAACCTGAGACCCCATGATGTCAATTTACTTTCGGTATGGGGACGTCACGTCTTCCATCGTAGAGCCATCGGAACGCAAGAAACCCAGGGCACTCTGGAGGCAAGCGGGACGCTTCTTGGCATGGATTTCCTCCGTTCTTGCCAGTCGGCAAGAGTAGCTATGCATATTGGTACCCGTGAAACTTCCGAAAAAGGAGGTCTCTCGGTTTCTTGAAACATCTAAGAAGGCGCTGGGATTATACGTGTAGTCCGCGAAAAGAAAATACCATGTCCAACGACCGACAAGAATTCGCATTGCAATTTGCTGCACGACGTGTTTAGACGCTAAAAGAATCGACTGCGGGACCGAAAACGATGACTCCATAGAAGCCCTCGGCATCTAACCGCTCAGTACACCCCCGAATTACGTCCGTATCCCTCTCTTCTTCCCTTCTCCACCACCTCGTGGAGAATGACGAGATAGCAGAGGAGGATACCCTGCATACTTCATCCCTCTAAGAACCCCCTGGGTTGATCCCCCCTCTCCTCCTGATCCCCCTCCCCTGTCTCCCTCCTGCGGCTACTCCTCAAGGGAGCAGGAGGAGGAGGAGGAGGAGGAGGAGGAGGAGGGAGGGAGGGAGGGAGGGAGGGAGGGAGGGAGGAAGGAGGAGGAGGGAGGGAGGAGGAGGGGGGGAGGGAGGAGGAGGAGGAGGAGGAGGAGGAGGAGGAGGAAGAAGAGGAGGAGGAGGAGGAGCTCCTCCTGCAAGGACAGTTCACAGTGCATCGAGAGCAGCGGCGGCCGTGCAGAAGGCGAGAGGGCAGGTGTAGAAGGGGGCAGGCACAGGTTGCAGGGCAGCGCCCCCGAGGGAGCAACAGGCACGCCTCGCGCGAGCGCGGCGGAACAGGACGGTGGAGGAAGGATGGAGAGGAGGAGCTTCCAGGATCGAGAATTTGTACTCTGAGATCCTGTCGTCTCAATTCTGTTCGAGCCTTGCGTTTTCGCTTCTCTGGGGCCCTGGGGCCCTCACGGATCGATCTGGCTCGAAGAGTGGCGCAGAAAGATGGGGTCTAGGGCTCCGGACGTGATTTTTCACGATGCTCTACTTTTTCGATTCGTCGGATCTCAGGGTATGTTTTTTTGTTGGTCTCGGATGTTTGTGGGCGGCCTCCTTGGGCGCTCTCGTGGCGACGGCTGCGTTGCCCTTTGACATTCTGGCCAGGGCACCCCCACAAGCCGTATGGAGAGGTGGTAACAGCGGGCGACGCTGTCAATGAGGATCAAGGAGTTATGATAATGATTCGTTCTAAGATGTCCTGTTGATCCGCGCAGGCTCCAGAAACAATGGCGGCTCGATACCCCAGAATTCCTGGAACGTATCTTGGGTCACGCAGCATATCATAGTTATCGTTCCAGTTTCTGGAGTATCCTCAGCATGCCCGCCCTCGCGTAAGACCTCAGACCATGATTTGCGCATATCGGCTATTCTTAAATCACCGAGTTGGCATCGGCGTGTTGGAATTATTGGCTAGCGCTTTAAAGGTCCCAACAAGAAGACTAAACACGGTAAATAACGATTCATTTGTTTTTGCGTTTTTGGGTACGTTTGTTTCGTGTCTTCATATAAGTTGACTGCATTGTGTAACGTCGCCGTCCGACGTCTTCAACTCCTCCTGGCGCGCAGTCCTCCCCATATTTCGATTATTAATATGATTGTTTATGTTGCTTTTCTCTTGCCCTCGCTGCTGGCTGGGACGTCGGGCCTCCAGGCCCGATGGCCGATTGCCCCTCCTGGAGCCATCGGGCCTCGGGGATTTTTGTTCCGGACTGGCGTTAGACGCTGATTGTTGCGATTTTAGATCTCAGAGGAGGAATTGCAGTAGAAACGAATCAGAGGCAGCAGCGTGGAATGGGGATTCCCCGCTGCAATGTCCCGGCGGAGAACCGCGGGTCACGCCCGGAGGCCGCGAGGAGGACATCCACATCCACGTCCATATCCTCCTTGACGTCCACCACCTCATTGCTCCTCCGTCCCCGCAACAAACACCTGCTCGTGCACCTTCTCAAGCAGCGCCACCCTGGCATCCCCCTCCCCATCGTCCGCTTCCTCCTGGCCATCCTGGTCCTCCTCCTTCTCGTCCTGCTGCTGCTCCTCCTCATCCTCCTCCTCGTCCTGCTGCTCCTCCCCCTCCTCCTCCTCCCTTGCCTCCTCCTCGTCCTCCTCCCCCTCCTCCTCCACCTGCTCCTGCACCAGATCATGAATGAGACGCGGCAGGCTGCGTGAATATGACGGCGCCGATGCACCTACATCCGCGGGCAGCTTGCGCGCCGGTGAACGCGCAATCGATCCCCGCGGCGTCGCCCCCCAACTTCAAACTAGGCGTTGCAACGGACCGTTCCTGTCAAAGCTTCATTTCTCCCCTCAGGGGCGGTTAACCCGCCCATCCCGCTAGCAGACCGTGGAGGCCATGGATGAGGAATCCTGGATCTGGAGCCTTGTGGAGATCCACTTGCGTGGAACGGGGGGCGGCAGAAGATGTCCGCCCGATCATTGTGAGCTCTCTACCCTCCCTCCGTCTCCTCTCCCTCCCCCCCTACTTCCTCCTCCCTCCCGCCCCCCCCCCTCCGCCCCGCCCCCCCCCCCATCCTTCCTCCGCCTCAGATCCCCTGGAGAAGGGCGGAAATTGAGCGGTGCGGTTGCGGTTGCGCGCCCGCGGGCGGGTTGAAATTCGTCGCCCAGTTGGGGTTCCGGTCGCGCGCCCGCGGGCGGGTCGAAATGCGTCGCCCAGTTGCGGTTGCGCGCCCGCGGGCGGGTTGATATGCGTCGCCCAGCTGCGGTTGCGGCTGCGCGCCCAGTTGCGGTTGCGGTTGCGCGCCCGCGGGCGGGTCGAAATGTGTCGCGTAGTTGTGGTTGCGCGCCCGCGGGCGGGTTGAAATGTGTCGCCCAGGTTCGCTTGCTTTTGCCCGCCCGCGGGTGGGTTGAAATGTGTCGCCCAGTAGCACGGGCGCGCGCCAGCGGGCGGGTCGAAATGTGTCGCCCAATTGCGGTTGCGATTGCGCGCCCGCGGGTGGGTCGAAATGTGTCGCCCAGTTGCGGTTACGGTTGCGCGCCCGCGGGCGGGTCGAAATGTGTCGCCCATGCGGTTGCGCGCCCGCGGGCGGGTCGAAATGTGTGGGTGCGGTTGCGCGCCCGCGGGCGGGTTGAAGTGTGTCGCCCAGTTGCGGTTGCGCGCCGCGGGCGGTTTGAAATGTGTCGCCCAAGTGCGGTTGTGGGTGCGCGCCCGCGGGCGGGTCAAAATGTGTCGCCCGGTTGCGGTTGCTGTTGCGCGCCCGCGGGCGGGTCGACATGTGTCGCCCAGTAGCACGGGTGCGCGCCCGCGGGCGGGTCAAAATGTGTCGCCCAGTTGCGGTTGCGGTTGAGCGCCCTCGGGCGGGGTGAAATGTGTCGCCCAGTTGCGGTTGCGCGCCCGCGGGCGGTTTGAAATGTGTCGCCCAAGTGCGGTTGTGGCTGCGCGGTCGCGGGCGGGTTGAAATGTGTCGCCTAGGTGCGGTTGCGGTTGCGCGCCCGCGGACGGGTTGAAATGTGTCACCCAGTTTCGGTTGCGCGCCCGCGGGCGGTTAGAAATAAGTTGTTCAAAGTGCCCTCCTGACGTGCTCTCAGTCAATCTGTCAGTCAATCTGTCAGGCAATCAGTCACTGAATCAGTCAGTCAGTCACCGGCGGTCACGGAATTTCACCCGGCTCCGCCGGGAAAAAGCGGCAGCGAGGACAGCAGGGAAGGTGAGGAGGTGCCTTCGACCAAGTCAAGTGAATCGCGCCTAGACGGCACATCGGTTACAGATCACATGTGCGAGTGTATGCACAGCAACACGCCAGCGTCGACAATGCCAGGAGCAAGGCACAATCAACGTCGCCCGCTCCCTTTCCAAGAGCATGGATTCTTCCAACATCTGCGCACACATGCCCGACCCCCCTAAAAACCCACGTGGTGGACGACCCGGGAGAGCAGCGGCAACAGGAGGCACAGAAGGGAACGACACCCGTGGTCCAGGACGACCCCGGGGCCGGGGGAAGAAGGAGAGCGAGCGGGAAAGGACGACGCCGGAGGGAGGAGAGGAGGCCGCAGCCTGGGCGACCGCCCGAGGGACGAACAGGAGTGCGAGAACAGGCGGAGGTGCCACGCAGGACGGCGGGAGAGGGGTCGACGACACCACCTGGAGGGCAGGCGGGCGGGGGAAGCCAGGGCACCATTCAGACTTGCATGCGTTACCCCCTAGATTTTCTGACAAAAGTCATAAATCTTGAAGCCCGGCTGAGTCAGTGGCAATTCAAACAGTACCTCATCACTGCTTCTTTCCCTGCGCATTGATAAAGGCTCTGCCCGATCGTTTGTCGGACGACCTCTTCCCGGCTCGGGGCCCCGCCGTGCACGCACGCTGCTATTGTCAGTGCGTGCGCGTGCACGACCGAAGCCCGCTGTAATCCGGGACGCCCTCTGCGGCGTTTCCCAGGATCGAGGAGACGAGAATTCCGGCTTTGGGAGACACTTTGGGCGAGTCAGCGAT